AGAGAGAGAGAGAGAGAGAGAGAGAGAGAGAGAGAGAGAGAGAGAGAGAGAGAGATTCGGCGAATTTTATTCGTCATCGTCGTCGTCATTATCGTACTCGATCCTGGTCGAAAGAACTAACAAACGAACGGAAGGTCTCTATGGTTGCGCGGGAGTTCACCGGCAAAACGTACGGGTAGGATCGTTGTCCGCCGCTGCTCATGGACGTCACTCGTGCGAATCCTACAGTTAGACGTTAAAGATGCTGCGGAATGATTCCGGTCGTCAGGGTCGATTGTGTCGAAAGGATAGATACAAGACAATCTCGCCGACGGTTAAATTATTATTTCTCGGCTTGTTTGCGCCGCATATTTACTATGTGTGTAAGTACACGCGACATTTCGAATGCAGCGAGACAGCGGAGAGCAGTCAGGTGTGAATATGAAATTAAATTTCATATTTGAATTTCAGGAACAAACGCGAGCGATATTCGATTTAATGAATGCCGGTTATTTATTTTATCGATTCGATGAACGCGTATTTAATAATCACTTTATGCTAATAACTAAGCGAATTTTGTAAATTATTTGCCCTCTATTTCTCCAGCTCCCTTTCTCTCTCTTTCTGTCTCTCGCACGTGCGAGAAATTTCAATAACGTTACATTCATTTTACGATTTATTTCACATGAAAATTCTAACTATTTCATTGAAAAATGCATCAAATGTCATATTTTCATGTGTGAAACATTTCCGTCTCTATTGATGCAAACATTTTATTTTTGTTCTTTTTTTTTAATAAAACGATACAGGTTTTATATTACAAAAATTCAGCAAAATATTTTTTTCGCAAAATTTGTCTTGCATTGTTCGCCCGAAAAAAATTTCGAGTAGCCGCTCGTGGAAAGAGAATGTTCGTGAAATATAAATTGAATTACAATCAACGATCATTAATGACTGATTTACTGTGAAGTCTCTACGGTTGTTCGGTTTAGTAATAAATGGCGACATAAGGGCTACATGAAAATACGGTCGATTGCTTATGCATCATTGTTCCTACGTGTGCGTAAGCATTGCACCACGCGTTGGCGTAACTCGTCTTCTCAATAGGAGTACCTCTCACCGCGTGCCTTAATAGTTAAATCAAGTCTGTACTTCCTTTAGGTTTCTTGTGTTTTCTCTCTTTTTCTTCCCTTCTTTTTGTTCTCTCTCCCTCTTTCTTTTTTGTTTTGAGAAATCGCTTACGCACTTCTCTCTCAAGAGAGAAAGTACCGTAATTAATACGCGAAATTAACGTCAAATTCTGTCGAGCGCGATAAAAGCAAGCGGACCACGCATTGCAGAACATTCTGAAGAGAGGCGATCTATTTTTCGCGTGCTTATGCGAGCGACTCGTTGCCATTCGTGACTTAGGCGCGCGGAACGCGTTCCTCGATTACGAAAATCGCGAAAATTTCACGTGGCCTCGTAACGTAATTGCAAAGATGCAAGGACACGAGTTAGATTTTGAAACACATCGCGCTTAGACGAGACACGAATAAATGTGCCGCGTATATTACTCACTTGGACACGGAATTCACACACGCGCTACGAATCCTTTTCACATTCGGCATGAGCAGCCTGCACGCCTTCAATCATACATAAAGTATAAACGTAGCGTTCGCGTTTAATTCAAAAGCTGATAACGACCGGTTTGAACTGGCTTGAACTCGGCTGAGATGTTAACATTTTGTGACGGAATGGACAGTTGGTTCCTGATGCAATTTGTTTAAAAATGAAGCAAACTTAATTCTTAGACATGGATTTCACCCCAACCAAGGTGTGGTAGCTTCTGCTCTACCCGTCGCTTACGTAATTCCCGACAAAGCCCGTTTGTCTTGGTGAACGAGCACTGGTATTTCTCTACACGTAAAGTACACATCATCGTCGTTCCGTGAACGCGATCCGGCAACGGCACCGTTGAAAAAGGTCGGTCCCGCCCGAGTGATTACCGGTGCGACCTATCTGGATCAAGATCATAAACGACAAAACCTTTCGTTCTCAGCCCAAATTCTTTTGTCGCGTACATTTACGTAACAACCAGCCGGACTTATAGTTCGATATTGTCTTGAGATTGCGTGACTCCGTTACTTTCATGTTACAATATATGTTGAAATTTGTGACTTTAGCGACTATCGCGACGTGAAGTGCGCGTCGGTACACACGATCTCGTCGAATTTAGTCAATCGTTTCACATATTACTTCTCCCTCATTTCAACGGAATTTACTTAGAAAATTTATTACGGAATCGTAAGGGCAGCTAATAAATAGACGGACCCGTCTCGTTCCCTACCAACGACAATGTCTGCTCGGACGAATTGAAATAATAAAATGAAGGTTGCTCACGGACAATTTCGTGAACTGTCGAGATATTGCCGCTTTCTTTCGACTACGAGACAGCCCGTTTCTTACGCAGTCACTTATTACACGCTGGTATTACAGCGACTACAGTGACAGAGTTTCATGAGGAAATCTGGAATGTCATGCTGGAATTGAGTCCTCGATCGTCTGTCTACCTGAGCGTTTTTCGGAGCGCCGCAGATTTTCAGAGATAATTTATCCTACGCGATTTACTGCTCTTCGAGTCTGCTTGAGAGATAAGAGTGGGATCATGACCAAACTGATTAAGAAGAAACAATTTCCTTCGTACCCTTGAACTGAGGAACAAATTGTCCGAGTTGAACGAAAAGTAAAGAAAATGTGCCAAGAAATAAACACACAAATACATATTTGAACATCTTTCTCTCGGGGCGCGATTATAATATTTTACCGGGCTAATGCATTGTACTTGGCGTGTTGGATTCACCGCAAAACGACCAAAAAGCAGCACGAGAGAAGCAACGACGGTGTTGCGACGAGATCGATTCGTTTGTCCACGGTGATGTGATGTGTCAGCATCCGCTTGTTGATTGCAAGTGAAGAATTATACGATCGCGCGTCCTTCGTGCACCAATTTAGATGGCAAAATAAGGCGTAGCCGTTGACACATAATAATGCATTTAAGAATCGTAACGACCTTTTCTCATCAAAGATACTATCTACCTTACGTGTCCATGAGACGCATCTACAACGAGATTCCCGCTTAGAAAAGCCTTTATTCGCTCGGTAATGCTTATTAAGGGATTTCTCCTATATAATGAAATTAGCTCACAATGTGATTACAACAACTTGTTATTTTTACAAGAGTTTTCGCATCGCACAGAAAGCATACGCATTTGAAAGTCAGCCAAATTTGTATTTGTATCAGACCTCCGTGGAATATCGTTTAAAGAAACTCGCGTCGTAGTGAACAAATACTAATAGCGTGACTATTTATTTGAACACGTGCACTTTCCAATTGTGCGATTTTTTAGTTCAGTCACGCGCATACCCAAGTATAACGCGCAAAACGTGCCGTTGCAATCCATCAAATATTTTCCATCTGCTGCAACTCGTCGATTCCTATTTCCGGAACGATGCGAACGGCAAAACAATGCGAAAACATAGAGTGTAAATCCGCGGTAGTAATAAGAATTCTCGCACATCTCGTTAGAGCAGAAAATACGGATCGTACGTCTCATTCGCGAATGAAGCTACGGGGTGATAATGAGTATTCGTATTTTCAACTCACTCCTACTTTGTTGACGGATCAAATATGGAATCTTTTCACCACGTTACTTTGTCGTGTCGTATCGATATCACGTTTTCGCTCGGCAAATATTAGTCGGTTATGTCAATAAATATCGTACAAATACGAAATATCGTATCGCCGGTCGCAAGTGACGATACGACGATTCTTTGGCGAACGCCACTCTCGCGATTGTCCATCGCTTTCACTTAATTTTTCATCCGAAAAAAAAGGAAAAAGAGAAGAACAGAATCGCGTTTGTCACGCAACAGCGTTGCCTTTCGGTGAAAAAAGAACTTTTTGCCACTCGACGAATCTATTTTGTAATCGAGAAACCTTCGTTCAGCACTCCCCTCCGCAACCTGGGAGAGATCTACCCACGGGATCCGTCTCCGTTATACCGTTCCAACAGCCACGAAGCCGTGAAAGGTTCACTCGTGACCGTAATGTCAAAGAGGCAGATACATACGCCCGATTACACTTAAACGAGAGCAAGCAGTGCACGTTACGTACGAGCGAGCGCCGTGAACAACGTGAATCCCGTTCAGAGTGGAAAATCTCTAACTTTATGTGAGATTTAGAGATTTGGCAGCGACGATAGTGAAAACGTACAACAAATTATATATCGTAACGCGTGACTTATTCGTCGATGGTAATTTCATTGCAATTGCAACTTGCAATTTTGTGACTTCCGTTGAGTCCGCTCGAGCCAGAAACACACATCCCGTTACTTCAGTTATTGTTCGAGCGACAGAGTATTGATCTTCCGTCTCACAGGGCTAACTTGCGCCGGAGTTTCGCTTGACTTTGCATAGGAAAAGTCAATGGTTCATCCTTTTCCCCTTGCTCTCCTACTGTCACGCTTGTGTCAATCCATGACGCTTCGCGCACATGACGCACATGACGTACGGCGCGGTGTGGCGCGGTGTCTACGGCGTCGTGACGCAACGTATTGTGTTTACGTACCGCATTTCAATACAATCGTGTGGGAAACGTACGCGC